TCAGAGCAAGCCCGGGGAGCTTGATATGGTGCTGAAAAGCAAGTTTCCGCTGGAATCCGCAGTAACCCAGGGAAATGGTCCGCTGAAAGTGGGTGCGCACAATGACCAGGCACCTTCTGAACGGACATGGCCAAAAGAAGCAGGACGACGCACCGGGCCATGTGAGCGGTGCCATCAGACCAAAGTAGCTGCGAAGTTTCGTGTACCTCGCTTTGTGCCCCATTTGCTTGGATCCAGGCACTCCTCTTTGTCTGACCAAACCAAATCCTGCAAATAACCCAAGTAAAAGCCGGGCACGACGAGACAGCGTGTACTAGGCTACACTTCCACTGCCATCAGCCAGGCGATCTGTCAGTTTCCCGGCATTCCTTCAGCCTCCCCTTGACCCCGTCCACCTGTTAATGGACTGCTTTTGATGGACTGCTCCCACTTGCCAAACATAAGTCCTATGCCTTGTTTCCGTGGTTGCCGCTTCGGTCAGAGGTCAGTCACTGGTTCCAATGATGGGGCTCGAAGATGACGTGGCCTTGCAGCTTGCCTGCGACAACTTGAACTTCGCCACCGCACGATTTCGCTTGTGGCGCTCCCACCTTTCCAAATCAGCCTCTGCAACACACAATTAGCGCAAAAGTGGAAGCATATACCAATATAAGAAATGAGCGTTTGATACCGCATGACACTCGTGTAGATGATATTGCGTGGCACGCGGAATGCCACAATTTTCCATGAGGCGGCCAGGCGGCCACTGCAATCACATGTGCCAATTTCAACCCCAAGGGCCCCTGAAAAGCAAGTGGACAACCAGTTACAAACCCGCGTTGGCCGGCTTGTATCCGGCAAGGTATGTGTGCAAATCCGGATCCGTTCACTAAGAATCTCAGATGAAGAGTGCCATGTCTACATTCCTAGTATCCCCCGTAATGACCCCTAAAGTAATCCCCGATATAGTCCCCCATATGATCCGCTATATAACCACCTTTTGAGTTTAGAATCTGGTTCATATAGGTTGTGTAAGCACTGTATACCGCCCGCCTCCGGCGTGCGAGTCGCAGCCTGTGACGCATTGCCAGAACTCGAGCACGACAAATCCGAGCCATGTCCTGTGGAAGCATGAAAACACTTAAGCTTCAAACAACGCTAAACCTGAACCCTAAACCCTTAAACCCAAAATCCTGTTCGAAAGTCCTTGCGTGCGGAAGCCGCTTTTTTTTTCTCAGGTTATGCCTTCTAGCTTGACTAGGTGGGGAAGGACCAGAATGGCATCTTCCCTAAATAGTGGGACCCCCGATACAGAATCCCCCCCAAAAAATTACTGCTTCGGATAACTCCCAAATTAATCCATGAAAAGATATTCTGGGGATTAGGTGCTTAGCATCCATAGCAGAACTTTGGCTCACGCTCCCCAAACCCAGATGGGATTTCATGAGGAGATCATAATCCCTCCATAGGCCCTATGTAATCTCGGCATTGGCCCCTAAATCATGGCTATACAATGGCTATATACTTATATAGAAGCCCTATCTAAACCGGAGATTGCATGGAATCCTTCAGCCTGATGTTGTGGCACACTGCCACCCTGGCCACTCTATGCAGGGACACCTAAATTCTGCATCTTCGAACTAAAAGTAACATGAGCTGGCAGGGCCAGTCGTACTTTTACAATATCTGCGATGCACCTGAAAATGCTTCCCAAAATCATGCAAGGTTCGGTGGCGCTTGGGGCCGATGTCCCTCTTGAACCTCCTCTGGCTCAAGCTCTTCAGCGGCACTTCGCCGGACAGGCCCCGGCTTCACTGGCCTTAGGGGTGTAGAAGCTGAACTTTTCAGCATGGGTCCCAGGAGTAGGAACATCCTCATTTGCAGCTGGGCTGTTGTTCATGTCTGCCCAGCTTTCTCGCTCACGCTTTTGGCTGCCATTGGTCTGCAGACTGTTCGAAGAACTTGGCGCTTGAGGAAGCATTTGAATCTGAATCTATGGCAGGACACCACTTCCAGATCAGCAACTGAGCACAGATATCCCATGGGATGCAAGAAGTCTTGGAGGGCATGGAGGATCTGCATGATTCCAGGCTGCTCACCACTGGAGCGGAGGGTACCAAATCGCCTGGGTCTTCCTGCGAGCCCATGCTTGCAAGCTGGAGCGTCTCAGATCCGATGTGCCAAGCGTTGCATGTTGTCTTGCAGCTGCTAGCTGGTGTGTTGAAAGTCATTCTGGAAAGATGGCGTTCCTTTCTCAAGCTCCAGTGATTGGCCTAAGTTTGCCGAGGCGTTGCTCCCTTCCCATTCTGAAACTGATTGGGCTAACGCGGGCTCATCCCCCCAAGCCCGCTTTGAGCCGAATGTCCGACTGTGTTTGAAATAGCTACTGGACTTCCTGTTGCTAGAATCAACGCCAAATCTTGCGCTGCTCATACTGAAACACTTGGCTCGCCACTCTTGGGTTGTTCACAACGTACTGGCATAGCCCAGGTATTTCAACCTCTGCACGTTACCAGTAGCTGCGGGTGGGATCTGCTGCTATGGTCTCTGGCATGGCTACGTGTCCTTCACTACTGCGCATGAACAATCCAAGCTCCGTGCTCACAGGATGAACCAGAATATATGCCATGAGTGTATCTTCCCCTTTATGTGTTTCTCGCGCGGCGCTGGGATCTTAAAGTGATATCTTCTTCTTGTTGAGTGTAAACCTGTCCCTGTCCTGCCTGCTATGATTATGTTCACACATACGTTGAGATACTAAGTTTAGGGCGCGCACGCCATCTCTGTGACGTCCATGTTGCCAGAATCATCGGTCTCAAATAACTTGAAGACCTGGCAACTCAAGACCGCATCCCGCTTCCCATAACACAGAATGGGCAACCAAAATTGCACAGAAACATGGACTGCTCGCTGGGCCTGTTCTGGCACTACATAGCTAGCATGTGCTATGGGAAGGGGGTTCCGGGGGCGAAGAGGGGCTGCCTCAAGTCTCTGATCTCCTCTTTGGCCTGGCTTCCAGTTTTGCTTGCAATGCGGATGCATCAAAGCTGAGAAGCGACCAGGGGGTATATCAACTCGGCTGGAAGGACAGGTGTTTCTGCTTACATAAAGCGAGATCAACGCCGCTTGCTTCGAAGAGATTCTTCAATACCGCTGAAAAGCCACAAGACATTGTTGTAGGATCGCATACCTAATTTCAACACATGCCCTTACAGCAGAAAGCTCTTGGAGGATTCTTTCAGGGGCTGGGTGAAGCAAGGAAGGTCAGAGTCCATTTTATATAGGGGTATATTATATTGAGGTTATATAGGGATAATGGAAAAGAAAATGGAAACTACAAAAGGGGCTATATAGGGGTATGTTTAGGGTTCAGGGCTTCTGGATTGCAACCGTACTGATGGTAGTGATAGTTGCAACTAAGGCTTAGTGCCAGGTTAAGGGCAATTACTAGCTGTAATACTGGGAAACTACTAGCAAGAGGAAGTAGGATGGGGAAGGTGATAGTGGAATTCAGAGAGCCCAAAGCAGTCTCAGCCAACACAGCAACCATAATGACGCGACGAAGCTAAAAGTCACCGACAAGAGCTGCACGTGGGAGTACGTGTGAATGTAGACCAAAAATAAAGCTGCACCTTTCAAGCGACCCATGGTTTTTATGCGTGGTAAAACGGACAGAAGTCTTCGTCATCGGCAAGATGACACGGCTGATCAGGTGTCAGCATGGACTGGTCAAGAAATTACAATAGTTAGTAATGGCATAGTACTAGGGTGGGCAGGGCACGCCGAGTGTATGCAGAACCTGCTTCAAGAGTTGCTGCTGTCCTGTGTGGTCCCCCGATTGGACACCCAATACATAAACTCAGCAAAAGCCAAGCCCGAATTATGCGCATCTTGCGACTTCAGCGTCCGGGCCTGGTGCGGGCCGTTGATGGCCAACATGTTGTGTCATGTTTGTTACTGCGCTCTCCTTTGCCTGCCGTCCTGCCCGGGTTCTTGGGAGACATGTCACTAATTACTGTTGACAAAGCGCAAACTCAGGCATCGAGCTCGCAAAGCTGCAGAGAGGCATAGGTCACATGCTTTGCCTCCACATTCAGCAACAACAAGCAACAGTTATGTGGGGGCAGATGGGCGTTCTATAGGAATAATGTTGAATCAGCTGGACAAGAATATTGAAAATGGAATGGAAACAGCTGTGGTTCTACCAGGCATCGAATCTCAATCTGCAAACATCCTCTCGGCCCCTTCCTCTTTTGCTCACAAAAAGCTTGAAAACCTGCAAACCAAGCACTAATCTCGCAGCAATTGCGCGTGAAGGGGGAAGTAGGGTTTAGGATTTAGAGTTCTCCGTAGACGGGCTAGTCTGGAACAGTCAATGGGTTTGAGAAAACCAGACGTTGCCATCAAAAACTTCCGCAATTTCTGCTAGGAACCCTCGATGCCACACACCCGCATCTTGCAGGCAGCGTAGCGGGGAAAAGGTCCTGTACTGCAACATGGCACGAACAGCTGCTGCTGATGGCTCTGCAACTCAAAACTTGTTAAAAGCAGCTCGGTGGTGGGCTGCAGAGTGCAGGATCTGAAGCAAAAAACAAGAAGCTGCATATGATATGCCCGTCGTGAGCAAGATGGTATACGGCACCAGAGCTCTTACTTCTACTGCGGCTTCTGCTAAACATCATCAACTGCCTCATACTCATCGTCATCATCCATCATCACACCGATGCCATCAAAATACATACAGTCTACAAGCATCCGGCGTCCGATGCCTTCGCATGTCGCCGTTGCTTGTGCGCACTCTACGCCAGGTTCAGCTGTGCAAAATGACCACCGGACTGCTGAAGCTACATGTACCGAGTATGTATGTAATCCAGGAGTCTGAATTCTCATCGATGGTCTTCCCAAGTGTCCCCTGTGCATACTGCGGGTAAGACCTCGGAGATGATTCTCCAATTCAGACCCCAACACATGTCCTACGAAATCTGGAAGCTCCGTGATTCGGAGTCGACCCCCAGCACCTGTTAGCATGCCGAAGCACGTCGTGATGAAGTAAATCGGGACCTCACAACCAGCATATCCAGCTTGTTCCAAGGGCAAAGCTTTAACACGCAGCACATCCAGAGGCTTGGAGCACTGTCAACAAATTCCAGGACTTCCAATCTCAGAAGCTGCTGCGCAATTTCCAAAATAATCTGACCATATTCGCCACTTCACACACTCCGAGTATCCCCCTTTATAAGCCCCATAATACTCCCATATAATCCCAATTGAGAAGTTTCCACTATAGCTAAAAAAAAAAGTGCTGGCTTTTGAAGGCTGGGTTGAGCACCGCAGCGACACGGACAAAGCCGCCGATGCTGCCTGAACAAGTCTTGTATTGGTGCTTAGTTGGGAGTGAATATAGTTACCATGTAAATTGGTATATGTAGGGACTATTATAGGGATCCACTCCCCCGCTTGGAGGGTCAGGGGGGACTTAGCAAGTAGGTTAACAACCCCTAAAACCCCTATGGCAACCCTAGTTATCCCCGTTATTAACCTACTTGCTAAGTCTCCCTGACCCTTCAAGCACTCTCCCTTCAACACCAGTAATAATAAAGGGATTTTGGTAACCCCAACTCCCAAAATTAGGACCCTATGACTATCATATGATGGTTACATGGTCTTAATTTGGGGGTTGGGTTACCAAAATCCTTGTACTAAGTAAGTTGCGAGCTGTTTGGCAAACATAGCATCTGCGCGCTGAGCAATAAAACGCTAGCGGCTAGCCATAGTCCCTCCCAACTGACCTTATGTCGGTTGCCCCAAGTACGAAAATCTTCTTGTACCCCAAACATAAGTAGCTGAGGGCCCGGAACTAACTTGAGATCTTATTTTTTTTGGGGGGATCTTTTTTCTGGGGGTGTGTGCCTGCCGGAATAGGAGGAAGCTCCACGCGAGAGCTAGATGTTGAGGCCGAATGTCAGATGATGTCAGATGCTTCATGCAAGAGCTCGGCTTCACGGCAAAGTATGAGGAAGCGAGAAATCGATTCCGAAGCAAAACTGATGTAAGAGCACTCTTCGCGAGAGCTCAATTTCACGGCAATATGAGGGCGCTCCACGCTAGAGCTCGGTTCCGAAGGAAAGCGTGTGGATGCTCCAAGCAAAAGCTCCATGTCAAGGCAAAATGTGAGCATGAATCCACCCCAATTATTCGAACTACTTAGAAACTCCTGAACTTGGTCCCTCTTCATTCATTCCTCAAACAGAGCTCCTTCAAGTCATCTTGACATCCCCCGGCATCCCCAAACTCCATAAAGCTGCACCAAAGACCGAAGGACCCTAGAGACCCAACCTCCGCAACATGCGACCCCAACAGTTATATAGGCAGTATTTAGGAGATATATTGGGATAATGGAAAAGAATATTGGAACTACTGTAGGGGCTGCGTAGGGGTATATTACATTGGGGGGTTTACGTTTGATATTACGAAAACTACTGTCCTCTTTACATGCTTGCTCAGGGATGTTTTTGGGCTCCAATCGGCTATAAGATTCTGTGAATCACAAGTATCACCAACACACTAGAACACTTCTGGGGGAGAATCCCATTTCATTCGAAACAATCCCCGCAGAAAAAAGCTGAAGACAAAATCCGCAAATTACAGGGCAACCGGTTGTGTCCCAGTGCCTGGAACCCTTTTGGGCCGCTGTTCCCTGAGATTTTGCGGTTGATGTCACCCAAGTTCACATCCAGCATCCACCTGATCAAACACCAGCAGGGAGAATATGGAATGGACGGAAAGAAGTATTGAAGTTGTTCTGATAGGAGCTTTCCTTAACCGGGGTCGCAACGCAGACCCTGACATAGTATCATCCTTACTGTAGGAAATCTACAAGGGGCCTCTCATTTCTGGAAACCCTCATAGCCAGAAAACCATTTTGAAGAGCGGGCAGCGGACGGGGTCTATCAAAACGGCGGCGAACTAGACCATTTTTGGGACAAAGTTTGTTCATGTAAGGCAGGCGCATTGCCAGCCAGTCCTATGAGACAAACATCAGCTCAGCCGCATGGGAAATTCATGCGCAAGATCTCAACCTACTGGTTATAAGGAAAAATAGAGTTATAAGGAAGTATATTCTATTGGGGTCATTTAGGGATCATATTCCCTTTTTCCCTACTAAGAACCAGTACGTCCACGAAGACTTCCTTCAATGTTGACTTCGGCATGCCCGAGCTTGTCCTAACGTGGGGCCATTTATGACCTAGGGTTTTGGGTTTGGATTTAGTCTTGGTTAAGGGATTTTGGGGGATTTAGGGATTAGGGTTTTAGGGATGTAGGGGTTCAGAGTTGAAAAGAACATGGACCCCATAAGTTCATACTTACAGTGTCGTAATTTTGGGAGTTTGGCGTTAACAAATCCCCCATAGCCTATAGCCCCAAATTAAGATTCAAGGTTTAGAATTTAGGGCTCGTATAAGCCCAGTTTCCATTTCATGTTCCATTTTTCCATGTTATTCTCCACCACTGGGCGGGAATTCCCCTAACCCTAAATGGCAGCTTCTAATTTTCCATTGTCCCTATATACCCTAAACCCTAAACTCTACGCAATCCTATCTTTGTGTAGACTTGGTATACAACCCTAATAGAACTCCAATCTAATCCTAGTATCATCCCTATATAATCCCAGCATAACCCTAATAGAATGCTAATTTAACCCAAATACAACCCTAATATAATCCCTATATAATCTCAACATAACCCTAACATAAACCCAAATATAATCCCTATATAACCCTAATGTAACCCGAATTGTCCCTAATATGATCCATTTACAATCCCAAAATAACCCTAATACAACCCCTATACACTCCCAATATAACCCTAATATAACCCTAATATGACCCATATAATCCCTAATATTACCCTAGTATAACCCTAATATTACTAGGGTGTAGAGTCACAAGCTGTCCAAACCTCCCATCTGATCGGGGCACTCGCGATGCCCAAACCCCACCCTTGGGGATTTTATGGTCTTGGGTTTGGGTTTAAGGTTTAGGATTGAGGGTTTAGGTGTGGGGTCTTAAGGTCTTGGATTTTAGGGTGTTGGGTTTGGGGTTTTAGGCTCTTGGGCTTAAGGTTTTTGGGTTTTGGGTGTAGGAGTTGAGCCTAAACCTAGAGGCTGAACCCTTCAAAAAGGGTCGCTGTTGAGGAACTGAAGCTAGTTACCATGACATGGATACAGGATGTGGCACACCACGTGGTTTCCACGCGATGCTAACTTCATTGCAGCTGCTTAGCATCAGCCTAGTGAATATAGTCCCCCTTAAGTAGATAGAATGTGGGGTATATGTGGCTTTTATTTTAATATACCCAAAGCCATATTCCATCTACTTGAGGGGGAATATAAACCTAAACAGCACGACCAGCCTGATAAGCTGAATGAACGTCGCAAAGTCCACTGCCTTCGAGAGTCAATTGCATGGACAAAAGGGGCATGCGAATCGTCAAATTCTTGCTTTGTGATAATGGAAAAGAAAATGGAAACTACCACATTATACTAGGGTTATATAGAGATAATCCCTTTATAGGAGTTTCCATTTTATTTTTCCGTACTGCGAGCTCTAGTTGTTTGAGGGTTCATCCGAACAGGGCAACCATCATGAGTCCACAAATATGCAGGGACCAGAAGTGGATTCTTGGGGTTTCTATTACATAGGGGTCAAATATTTTGGGAAGTTCCCGAGTGACAAGGGAGGGGCTTCCGCCAATGCCCGCAACTGAGGGAGCGACGTCGGTGTGGTGGGCCGCATACATGGTTGCCTGTCAAACTAAATGCGAATTTTAGTCTAAACTCTTTGTATTCCCCTTGATAGCCCCTCTGATACAACCCTAAAGCCTAAACCCTAAACCCTGAAACCCTAAACCTCCCCTAGATAAGCCGTCTTTAAGGAGTTTAGACTAGAGGTCACGTGGCCACGATGCAAAAGGCATGGCCGAGGCTTCTTACAATGGGCTTGCTCCGCTGGATTGGTCGGTGCACCCTAAACATCCTTAAACCTAGACTTTAGGGTTTAGGGTTTAGGGTTAGATGACTAAACTGTGGCTTTTATGCTTTGCTGGTCTTCGGCTTGCTTCGTGCGTGGGAAAATGGCCCCACACTGGGCAGCACGATGTTCTTCAGGCCGGTGAGTCTAGGTTGGTCCAAGGCTCGCTAGCAAAGATTCATTGTAGTGAGAGACCTGAACAACTTACTGGTGAGTAGTCCTTAGTGGGGGATAAGGGAATATATTCCATAGGCGTTATATGGGATCATATTCCCTGAGTCCCTAGCAAGAACCCGTATGATAATCACAGTGGGGCTTGGGGTGGACGAGCGTAGGCTTCACGCTGCGTCGAAGGAAACAGGATCAGTTGTTGTCAAGGTTCACGTGGCTGGTTCTTATCAAATCTAGGCAATCCTTACGTGGGACCCCTGCAATCTCTGCCTGATCCTTATGTGTGCATCTATATCAATAAAGTTATACAACCCTACGTTCTTTTGAGATACCCTGCTTGGATCGTTAGCTCCAGAGGGGGTGTTGCTGCCTTGTACCGTAACTCCATCTGCTGCTTGCTCGTCAAAGGGACGCCCAAGTCTAACAACAGGTCCATCACGTCCTGCACCTCAGCTTTAGGCTTACGAATCTTGCATGGCTGAAGAAAAAAGCACGTCTAGGGTCTAGAGTTCACATGTATTGAAGCGTTCGTATATCATAATTACACGTGTTCACATCTACTCGTGCATGGTATTCCTTCTGAACGCACTGAGATGGGAAGCTCCCAAAGCGACAGCTAGCAATTTTAGCGATTCAGGGGCCTCTACGCAGAAAACTGAAATCTGTGAAACATGCCTGTGACCCGTCGCCATAATAAAGGGCTACACGGCTACTCATCGTGACTCATCGGTCACGACCGGCTGGGATCCGCACAAGGATCTGCGGCCCTTTGCCTCCAACGCAAAGGAAGGCCTGCACATAATGCATTGCATCGCGTGTGATCGCAGCGCCTCTGTCACCAATCCCTTTGTGTCTTTAGTACTGCAATGAACATTACTTGTAATCTGACTGATGTGGCCCCAGGCCCCGAAGTTTAACAGCCCTATGCTACGAGAGCCGGAAGGACAACCCGCCCGGGCACGAGTCATGAGCACCCCTCCCACCTGAAGCTGGCAAGTGGGGGTGAACCCATGGCTGGTCTTCCCAGCCAAACTTGCACCGAGTACTCTGCCATGGCTCCCGCGGCAGCTGCTGTACACTTACAAGTTATGAGGCTTTCAGCAGGCAGGAATATGGCCTCCTCCAGCAACCTGACATACAAAGTGCACCATGTCGTTGGAACCGCTAGCACGTTGAGAGTAGTTGAGGCGTCCATCTCCACGAGCAAGTGGAAGTGTAGCCCGTCGAAGTGGCCTGGGCGGTTCGTTCTGAACTCAACCATCCGCTCTTGGTCCACCAACGTTGTCGCGGTGTCAAACCGGAACCATTCAAATACTTCGGGCTCAGCAAGAAAGCTGCATGAGTTGAAATTGCGAGCATTGTACCGTGTGTTCACCGCAAGCCCCGCCTCACCGTTGAAAAGCTGGTGTAAGGCGCACTCCATGCTGGTCAACTCTATCCGCTCGGTCGGGGCAAGGTAGGTCCCAGCAGCTGCAGGTATAAAAAGGCAACCTGCTTGCAGGAGATGCCTGGAATGCGTGTCCCGGATGGTGGGCACCACGCCTTCCGAGCTTGCCATGTACCCAAGGACTTCGTGAACAACTAGGTCATACTCTCCGGGCAAGGAGATGTCTGCACAAAGACCTTCGTGAAGCTCCAGACTGGTTGGAAACTCCTCTTCGGCATCGGCTTCGGGCCACAGAAGGACGGTGCCACGGCACGAGCCCAGGTAGCCAGGTTCTGGCTCGTGGTCGCGAAGTTCGGCTTCATGTACAATACGATCTCCTGCAATTGCATCTTCCACGTGAATTTCCCAGCGCCGCACAGGTGACTCTGGAAAAAGGAGCTGCAGGCGATCCGGACATAAAGCAGCAGGCGTACGACGAAGCCATTGCAATGGAGGCAGCTCAACCCTGGCCATCTCCATCTCAAATAGCTTGCGTGCATATGCCACACTGGCTGGACTCTGCTCCACAGAATGCACAAGAGCCGCCCCGGCTTTCAAGGCAAGCCTCCCAAGCAAGCAGAACGCACCGGAACCGACATCCAGCACACGCTTCCCAGCAGCAACCCGACGGATGCACAACTTGAATGCGGCCACACGCGCAGTATCCAGCACCATCTCGATATGATTCTCGGAGGTGTAATGGTTGTTTTGCTGCAAGCTGCTACGGCCCTTGCTTGAGCGAGGGGAGAAAGCTCTACAGGGCCTGATCATCTGATCGACATCTAGACCCTTTTGAGGCAAAACTGACTCGAGCTCCGTCGCAGTTGCAGTGTACAGCCAACTCTCTGGAGGATATCCCAGAACTTCACCAACCGCAAGCAACAACTTCAGTCTTTCTTCAACTAATTGGGCGCATGCAGAGGCATCTGCCTCATTTCTTTCAGCCCAGGATGTCTCTTCAAACTCTGCGAGAGCATGGAGTGCTTCTGCCCGCCGCTGCTCCAGACACATCGACGCAGGATCAGCATCCCCTGCCCTCCGCGGACTTCTAGAGCGCGTTCGCAAGTCCATGGTGCCCTAAACTTGGCAAACACTTGTCTGTTGCAGGCCATTCTAAGCTAACCTAAGCATGCTCCGTTACTAACTCTTCCGAAGGCCGATACCATCGCCCGTACTCCTACTACCTGTGTTCGTGCTTCTACTTCGCAGTTTGCACATTATAAAGGTGGCCTTGGTGCACTTTCGCTTCTGCCTGTAACATCATTATGAGAAGAGTGGTGTCATCACAGTGATGATACGCTTTGTTTCCACTCATGGTGGTTGGTTCAGATACATGTAACACTGGCTAAAGAGTCAGCATCTTCCAAACTACATCAACATCCCAAAAATCAAATTCCGACAAAGGAGCCTCATGTCAGCCATCAGCCTGGGCAAAAAAAATCCCGTTATAGCCTGGTTCTTTGGACGGTACTATCTGGCAACTTACTCCTATAGAATCCCAAGTAGGTAAGTGTAGCAGCTTCTCCCTCAAAGGACTTCTAGCCCAAACCAAAACCCAGCCCAGGGGTAGGACGAGCAAGAAAAAAAGGGTAATGCGACTTTCAATCCCAAAACGCAGCAGTAATAGGGGTTTCCCAAAATTTGGGTGTACCTTTCTGGGGGCCCCTATAATAAGGACTAGAGTATATTGGGGTCTAGATTGGGGTACCCTAATTTTGGGAAAGTACCAATGAGGGCACTCAGCCTCGTAAGTGTATTGTGCGAATACGCAGAGGCTCCAGCAAAAAGATGGTTGTAGGTGGGCATACCTTGATTTATAGGCCTCCTTAAGTAGATAACATAGGGGTTGTGGGGTTGTATTGGGATAATGGAAAAGAAAATGGAAACTACTATTCAGGGTTTAGAGTTAAGTAGATAGAATATTCTGTATATGGTGATCTTAGTATAGCATTCCCACAGCCATATTCTATCTACTTAAGGGGGACTATAGGGCCTCACCATACTCCCAAATTAAATGCTCATTGCTTTAGAAACCCCATCTTTTAAAAGGTACCCATGATGATCTTAAGAAACTTGTCTTGGATCTCCTTGATCAAGTTTCAACCACCGCCCTGCGCACACCCACATTACTACGTAGGACAGTCGCCCATGCACTAGAACATGAGATTCCTCAGCTTAGTACCCATTGCTCTGATGGCAGAAAGTATGGGTCATGGATCTTTGGATGGGTCCTTCTGTGCACATTGCAAAATGCATTTCAAAACCCTCTGCCCCAAAAATTCCTCTGGACCCAGCACCAAAAGCATCCTATGCTCGCGCCCAGAACTTAAATCCCTGAAGGAGGACTGAGAACTCGGCGGGGATAAAGGGATAAGTCCGGAATCTCTGGCCTTTAGCTCCGCAATCGCGAGGTTCGCTTCATGACCTGGCACCAACACACGGGGACTTAGACGAAACATGGCGGATCTACCTGTGGGATGTAGGCACCACTGTTACGGATCATGATGTTTCTCACACTCAACCCTATCCCTAAACCCAAAACCTTAAATGAATCTCAGTCATTGTTCAAAAAGGGTAAGATCCGAACCTACAGAAATGCAAGGCCTCACAACCCTGAGTCCCAGGCGTCAATCTAATCCCCTCCCTCCCACCCCCTAATCTCACTCCCCCCCTAATGTTAACACCCCCTAATATCAACCCCCTCCCACCCCCCTAATATGAATTAGAGGGGGTGGGAAGGGAGGTTAATAGTACAGGGGGAGGGGATTCATGGGAATGCAGACCAAGAAGAAATGTCAAGCCCTCCGGGGCAGCTTTGAAGCAAGTCAGCCACGGGAATCCCAAACCCTGCACAATGAACCCTAAACCATGGGACGAAGCCAGAGACCTCCATGATGACCAAGAACCAAAGGGTTCAGGGCTTAGTGCCCATTGCCCAAACTGCAAACAGATGACTGCCCTCAGCAACCTGGCTTCATCAGCGACGATAGCTGAAATTCCGTAGCCCTGAGAGGCTAGAATCCCTAATTCGATGAAGAAGTGCACCCAGTCCCAGGGCTACAGGGGCGGCTTACTGTTTGGGGTTTAGGGTTTGCGTCAAAGACCGTACTTAGGGAACTTTACGACCAAAGTAACAAGTGAAATCTGACATTCCGAAGGTCCTCACAACTCTC